AGCTGATTCTCCAACCCCCCCCTTTGCCATCCCCCCCATGTCGCCCGACCCGAGATTTCTATCGCCGTTTGGCTTGCCAGTCGGAGGGATCGGGATGAGCTCGAGGCTGGTTGAGAAGCTGTCGGAGGCCCCCGCGGAGTCCTTGGATCGGCGCAGGGCACCCCTTCTTGCCGCGCGGGGCGCGCCAAGGGCTGCGCCGGAGACGCCGCCACGGGGGGCCCAGCGCCAGCCACAGGTATCCGCGCGGACCTCCGAACGCTGACGTTTGTGCAGCTCGTCCTCCCTCTAGGCGTAAGTCGGGCCTGTCGCCCTACAGGGGGATGTTCGACGATGAATGAAAAATGCCCCAAGAATAGTCAAAGAATAATCCGAAAATAGTCGGGGGACTATTTTTGTTAGTGTTGTTTGACCTTTTGGGTGCATTTTTGGTGTATTTTTAATTTATCTCGAAAATCCCCCTGCAGGGGGACACGCCCGACAGAACTCTAGGCAGACGCTGCTGTTCTCCGCGACTATGACCAAGAGCATCGAGCAGCTGCGCCAGCGGCTCGCTTCCGGAGGCCCTGCCGGGGAGCTCCTGCTGCTGGACGCGAACCCCAACGACGAGACGCTGGACACGCTCACGCAGCAGTACATCTTCGTGCCTGACTCAGTGCAGATCTGCTACCTGCACTACCTCCTCAAGGAGCTCGAATAGCACACAACGATCAGCAAGACTTTCGGGGCTCCGCGCGGGTCTCTTAGCTTTGAGTCGGGCATGTCCCTCTACAGGAGGAATATTGAAACATTGTCACAAAGTCGTGCGGGTACGATTGTACCACCATCACTCAGCAATGTTTGAACACAGTTGGACGTTGCGCGGACCTCCGAAAGTTTGCGCATGTGTGGGTTCGTCCTCTTCCAGGAGCACTTCCCGGAGGCCAGCTGCATCGTCTTCGCCCCCACGCTGGAGCTCTGCCAGATGCTCACGACGATGCTGGACCTGCTCCACTTCTCGGTCGTCGGCCTGCACTCCCTGCAGTCCATGCGCCACCGCCAGGCCTCCCTGGCCCGCTTCCGCGCGGGCCGCAGCCGCATCCTCGTGGCCACGGACGTGGCCAGCAGAGGCCTCGACATCCCCAAGGCTCTCGGGACGGGGCGCTCGCTGCCAGCCTCCACGGGTCCTGGCCGGGCCGCTCCCAGGCCCAGGGATGGGCCTGGCCACGATCGGTACACGTGCGGTCCCTTCCCTTTCTGCCCCTCCTCCCCTTCCGCGCGGCTTTGGTGCGCTCTGGGGTCGATTCGCATCGCCCCGCTCCATGCTCGAGGCCTCCGCGTGCGGCCCTCTGACGACCGCTGAGTGGATCGGCGCCGATGGTTAGCCTGCATTGCCGTCGGTCCGAAATCACCATCGTGAAACCAAAAGCGCCGATGTCTTGGATCTGCGTGGCACCCGCCTCCCAGGGCGCGCGGAGCCCGCAAGGAGCGGCGCCAGAGGCGCCGCCGGGGGACCCCAGCGCAGATCCAAGAAGTCCGCGCGGAACTCCGCAATTTCATGTCAGTGCCCTTGTGGCCTTCTAACATTTAAGTCGTGCGTGTCCCTCTACAAGAGGAATATCCAAGCCTAGTTTTAAACACGTAGCTAGAGGGTACGATGTTTCGACTACCTTTGTAGCTATGTGCGCATATGTTTTGGCATTCTCCCATCTGCCGTCCAAAATCTGCCCGTAGGAGGACATTCAGGAGGGGGAAAAACACACAGACACAACGAATCGTCCACCCCCAGGAACATATGGGATCAGATATGGGAAGTGAAGGGGACGACGGAGATCCCCAAGGATATGCGAAACCATGGGGACGCCTGTGATTTGTGTGTACTTATGTGTGTGTGTGTCCCTGGGCCCCTCCAGACATGCCCGACCTAACTCTGTGGGAAAACATACACACACTGTGGGAAGAACAACACACACTCTGTGAGAAAACACACACACACACACACACTCTGTGGGGAAAAACACTGTGTGCGTTTTAAACACACACACACACACATCCACACACACACACACACACCGTGTTTTTTTCCCACAGACTCTGTGTGTTTTTTCCCACTAACTCCGTGTGTGTGTGAGTGTGTGTGAGTGTGTGTGTGTGTGTTTTGTTGTGTGTGTGTGTTTTCCCACAGTGTGTTTTTCCCACATCCTTGGCGAGGTCACCGCCGTGGTCAACGTGGGGCTGCCGGCCAGCGTGGACGACTACGTGCACCGCGCCGGGCGCACGGCGAGGGCGGGGAGGCCCGGCACGGTCGTGTCGCTGGTCACCAAGAAGGACCCGCGCAGTGGCGAGGCGTCCCGGCTCGCCGAGCACCGCCCACCAAGCCTCGGGGGCGGAAAAGAGGGGGGTGATGACGAAGGGGGGGGTGGATATCATGGCGGGGGCCACGATGTTTCCCCAGATTTCATGGCGCCGCTTCTTATTTCATTACGTCCCTGGCCCCCCCCGCTGGGCCGCCCACATGCCGCCGGTCATGATTTGCACCCCCCCCTCGTGGACACCCCCCTCTTTGCCGCTCCCGAAAACCACCCCAACCCAACCCGAATGTCTCGATTTGCCCTCCACTTCCAGTTGGGGGGGGGGTCGGGGAACATCGAGACACCATATAAATGGAACCCGTACCCCGCCCAACCCGAAATGCTGGTCTTCGGGTTGGGTTGAGGCGGTCTGGTAGGCAGTCAGCCTATAGGCCGACCAAAGAATGTGCTAAGGACCTTTTGTGGTTTCCACGAAGTGTTCTCAGAACATTCCTGGCGGAGCCTGTCTTGTTTTATCACATCGGGTTTACGTTCGAAGAACATGGTTCTTGTTCTTAGAACAGTAGTGGGTTCTAAGAGAATTTCGTGGCGGGACTATAGGAATGCCCGGACGGTCGGTCACTGCTCAAAAGGACGTGCCCAGGGTGCACGCAGTGGAGGAGAAGCTCGGTAGGCAGCTGGAGCTCCGGGCGACCGTCGAGGAGGACGCGGTCAGGCTCGGGATCGCTCCGCCGATCCCCAATCCCCAAGGGGCAATGGCACCTCAGCCCCACCATCGCACCACCCCAGGGGGGGACAGTCGAGGAAGATCAAACCGGCCCAAACATAAACTTTTGGCGCTCCGCGTGGATTTCTTGGAACTGCGCTGGACCCCACTGGGGGCGCCTCCACAGATCCAATAAATCCGTGTGGAGTGCCAACAGTTGAAGTTTATGCCGTTTCGTCTTTCTCTGGCACACGAAGGAGACAGCCTACATCCTTATGCTATGTTTTGGGGGGGGCACCTCGGCCAGTGCGGCACAGGCCACACCAGTGGGGATGCGGACCGTTGGAGCGACATGCCCGCGAAGGCTGCTCTCGCAGACCGCGAAGGCCGCCCAGAAGGCCGAGCTGCTGCTCGCGGAGGTGGCTCCAGCTGTGTGCAACGCGGACTCCGCTCTCACTCAAGCAGTGGCGAAGCGTCCTGGCTCGCCTACAGGCCCACCAACGACTGTTCTAAGAACCGTTTGTGGTCTGCACGAAGTGTTCTCAGAACGTTTATGGCCGAGGCTGTCTCGTTTAAACACACCGGGCTTTTGTTCTAAGATTATTGCTTATGTTACTAGAACATCTCTGTGCTCAAAGAAGGGTAGGCCTGTAGGAATGCCGGGCTGGTCGGTCCCTGCCCGATTCATGGAGCACGGAGGGCACAGACAGAAGACATTTCGACTCTGCCGGCTAGGATGGATGCGGTTTCGAGGATCCCGCTTGCGAGTCGATTCGATCCCGGATTCCGACGCCGGTCTTGAGTTCTTTTTCAGTGTGTGTGTGTGTGTGTGTGTGTGCGTGTGCCTCGGCTTGGCTTGGCGGACGTCGGTTCCGATGCCTTCGGATCCGATTCGCTGTCTCTCGATGGCCGAGTCGATTTCCCGATTCAGTCTCGGCCCATCCCGGCATCAAGGCAGACGGCTTCTCAGAAGGCCATCCACCTTCTCGGGAGCTTCCCAGAAGGTTGCTCGGAAGGCCGTTTCAGAAGGCTTCTCAGAAGGCGTGTTTGAGGGCCGTCAATCCCCCTGGGAGCGTTTCCAGAAGGGCTTCGGACACGGAAGCATTCTGCAGAGGCAGGGGGGCTTCCGAAGCCCCCCTGCCTCAGCGGACGGCTGCCCCCCGTCGCCCTCCTCCTCCGCCTCCGCCTCCGCCTCCGCCTCCTCCTCCTCCTCCTCCTCCTCCTCCTCCTCCTCCTCCTCCTCCTCCTCATCTCCTCCTCCTCTCCTCCTCTCCTCCTCACTCCTCCGCCCCCCTCGCCCCGTTTCCCAGGCATCCGCCGGCTCGATGTCGAAGGCACCTGCGGCGAAGGGCCGCCGCCGCCCGGGCCCCTTGTGAAAACGCCCCTGTGGCCAACCGCAGGGCCAAAGTCTTGCCCCTTCGCCCCGTTTCCCGGGCATCCGCGGGCTCGATGTCAAAGGCACCTGCGGCGAACGGTCGCCGCCGCCCCCCCGGCCTTTTGGGAAACGCCCCTGCGACCAAATGCTGGGCCAAAGTCTGGCCGAGCTATGCGGCTGTGTGCTACCCCAGCCATCGTGGAACCACTTGGGGGAACACCTGGGAGAGGGAGAGAAAGGATGATGACAGGGAGAAGGATGACGAGGAGGAAGATGAGGAGACGGAGGCCTCTTGGGGCTGTCTCGTTGCTTCCTGGGAGCGCCTTGGGGGCCTCTGAGAAGCCCCTTGGGGGCCTCCTGGGGACTCTTGGCGGCCTCTTGGAGGCCTCTGGAGGCCTCTACCGTCTTGCGGGCCTCTTGCGGGCCTCTTGGGCTGTCCTGGGACGATCTCGGGGGCTTATAGGGCCGTCTTGGAGCATGGGAAACCCGAGAAGGCGAGAACGCTAAATGATGACGGCTGGATGGTGTTGCCCCACTGGAGGCCCTCTTGTAGAACTCTTTCTGGCGTCGTGGGCACTTCTGGGGTCGTTTGGAGGGCACCTTGGGCCATCTTGGGGCAATCACGAAGCTGTCCAGCTTGAAGGCCAACTTGGTCGTTTCGGAGGCCACCTTGGGGCAAAGCTGTGCGGACGGATCCCCGCCCTCCCTTCTTGTGCTGCCTTCCGTGACCGGGAACCTTCACCGCACTCGTTGATTAATACCCTCTGGAGGGTCCCTGGCCATACACTAACACCCACCGGGCCGCACGGCCGCACTAACAACCGTTGGGCCGCAGTAGCACCTTGTCTCGTGGCAAGACAGGGGGCGTGGCGTCTAAGAGGCGCGGGCCTTCTCGGAGTCAGCCCGCACAGTGAGGACGGGCAGCCTTCCCAAGGAGTAGGCCTCGACGCTGTCCGCAACGGTGGTCGCATCGCATCGCACCCTGCGGCCCATCCTTAGCGAGCGACCCTCGCTGGCCGCCCTCGCCGGGAAAACGCGAACGTGGCTCTCAAAGGCCCTTGCACGCTTACCGCGCATCCGAACTGTACGGCTTGGTCCCAGTAGGCAGGGCCTCCCGACAGAGTCCAGGGGGCTTCTGGGATGGCTTCACGGGAAGCCTGGAGGGTTTCTCGGGACCCCCCCGTGCAATCCGAGTGGCTCCCCGCCTTCTCAGACGGCCCCTCCCTCGCGCCACCCCCTTGGTGCGCGCCGCCAGTGACCCAGATTAGTAGAGTGCCCCCAGGAGTCCCGACCCAGGGAAAGACGGGGAGGAGGAGGAGGAGGAGGAGGAGGAGGCGGAGGAGGAGGACCTCCTCCTCCGCCTCCTCCTCCTCCTCCCTCCCCCTCCTCCTCCGCCTCCTCCTCCTCCTCCTCCTCTTCCTCCTCCTCCTACTCCTCCTGGGGGACAGTGACCCCAGTCTGTCCCGATTTGTTTTTGCCGAGGGCACGCAGGGCCCGAACGCACCGCCAAACACCTCCCGTCGTGATATGTTTCCACGACGCTAGCATCCAGTCGGGCCCGTCCCTCTACAGGAGGAATGTGCAGAAATAGTCTGGGGACTATGTTTTGACTATTTTTGAGCATTTGGGCGTATTTCTTTTTAGTATTCTTAATTTTTCGCCCAAGGTCGGCCTGTAGGGGGACATGCCCGACCTGACGCGAGCATGTTTGGAGAAGGGGGTCCTTAGGATGCAACCCCTGGGAGGTCCAATCCAGCATCGGCGCTGATGCCTCCGCGACCGACCACCGGCCGAGTCCGGCGTAATCCCGCTCCATCCGGGCAATCCATAAAACAGGGCTAGGATCGGGATAAATCGCTCCAGAGCGTTCCGGAGCGCTCTCAGAGCGTTCCGGAACGCTCTGGAGCGGGCGCGGCGCCCAATACATCCTCCAAACCCGCCGATTCTCAGAGATTTCGAGTTATCCCGATACGATTTTGTTCCGATCTTCGCGTCGTTTCATTCCAGGGCAATCCAGATTCCTCGCGGGCCTGGTCGAGGCTAGTCCGCTTCAGTGACCCTCGAATCGACCTCGGTAGCCCCTGATCTTTCCGACGATGACCTTCCAGGAGGTGCCTCCCAAGACGGCCCTGCCCACCCCCTATCCCTGATCCTCATCCTCATCTTCCTTGTCCTCATCATTGTCCTCATGTTGCTCGCCCTCATTCTCCCCATC